ATTTATATGTTGTACAAGCTTATAATTTTACATGTGATCAACATTGGTATTGTACTTAAATTTTGGAAAATTTTAATAGGTGTTATTAATTAACTTTAAGAATTATGAGGGGTCGGATACTTATGACCGCTACTGTATTTAGTAATTTACAGTTATTATAAAAGTATCAAATTAAATTTTATAATATCTGATCATACTAAATTCAAGTGTGAAGGTAGTTTTGGATTAATTAAGAAACTATATTACAAAATATCAGTAGATTACATAAATTATATTATTAAAGTTATGAAAAGATCGAGTATAACCAGATTAAACAAAGCTCAGTACTATAAAAATGGCAAAGGCTTTCAATATTTAGATCTTAATTCAGTGTTAGAAATTTTCTTTAAAAAATTGAATGGTTTACAAAAATATCAACATTTTGTATTCAAAGCAGCCAAACCTAGTATTGTTAAAGCTCAGTTAGTTGCTAATGATTCGTATACTGAATTTAATTTGTTAAAAACTAGAAAAGCAAGTGTTTCCAAAATTACCAAGAAAATTAAATCTTTTTCTATTTTAGTCTTAACCTCTTTTCCTTTGGATTACAAAAGGTAAGAATATCTTTATCATCATATTCACCTATTTGTTAGAGATGAATTCAAAGATATTACTTGCCTAAGCCTAACCTATACTGGCAACGAATAAAATATTTAGACTAAAATTCATTAATTCCTTATCACATTAAATTCTTTATCTAATATTTCCACTTTACAATTTTTAAAGTTTAAATAAAAGGAATATTAAAATAATTATATACTTAATATAGCCTTATAAGTATATTAAAAATAAATAAATAAAAAATCATGGTAAATATTATAAAAAATCAACAGCAAGAAAATAAAGAATTATTAAATGAAATAGAATTAAAATAACAATTAACAGATAAAAATAGAGAACTCAATGATTATAAAAGCACAGAGGTAAGCAAACAAGAAGAAGCAGAATTTAAAAAAGAAGCAACTGAAAAAATTTACCAAATGTTAGTAGATATGAGAAATAGATTTCCTCACTATAGCAAGAATATTGAATAAGATCTAAGAGAATTGATTAGTAAACTATTAAGAAAACAATTTACAGTCAGACTTCTCTAAATGCATCCCTTTAGGACCGAGTAAAAGAGTGCATTTAGAGAGGGTGTGCATTAATGGAAAATATATATTTTAACAAATTTTTATAATATAATCACTCATCTTCAAACGATTTAATACTTGAAAATCCAGTAGCTACAAGAAGGTAAGTAATTTAATGTTAAATTTTTTGATTGATTAAAAAATAAAAAAATATTAAAATAATTTTTCATAGCACTCACCTTCAAATGATTCAATACTTGAGAATCTGGTAGCTACAAGAAGGTAAGTAATTTAATTGTTTGTTTGATTGATTAAAAAAAAAAAATATAAAATATAAAAAATATCATAGGACTTACCTCAGAATGATCAATGCTTAAAGAATTCGATAGCTACAAAAGGTAAGTGATTTTAGTTGTTAGTTACATTAATTGATTTAAAAAATAAATATTAAAAATTTTTTTTTTCATATGACTCACCCCTGAACGATCCAATGGTTGAAGAAATCTAAGATCGTCAAGTAATGCAAGATTATAATGATGCTAAAGAGTCAAGGCCGAAAAAAAAGCTGCATGTGTACTAAATTAATGAATAAAAAAAAACATCAAATTTTCAACGGTCCTATTATTTTATAAAATAGTCACGTGACATGCATTTAAAGATCGAATTGTCATATCAAAAAACAGAAAAATTTCTTGCACGTGCAGAACTTGAAGGGTGCATTTAGCCTCTAAATCCCAAGCTTGGGATCAGAACATTGTGTGCATTTAAAGAGGGTATGCATTATAAAGGATGCATTTAGAGAAGTCTGACTATATGAATATTTATTTTCAACACAGTCTTATGCATAACTATAATTGAAAAGAAAAGGAGAATTTGAAAGAAGTTGTAAAGAGAATTATCATAGACCATTTTGAAAGTACTGAGTTAGCTACTGACTTGTTAAAATATTGAAAGAAATGAAATGAAAGTATTCATATTTTTTTCCGAATAAAAGAAGGAAGTGAAATTTTTGGTAAACCAGTTAAAGGTATAATTCTCAAATAATTATTGAAGGTAAAGATGAAAGAATTAAAGAGTTGGAAGTGAAGGTAGAAGAATTAGAAGAAAAAGTTGAAGGTTTGGAAGATGATTTAAAAATAAAATACAAAGAAATTGAGAAAGCATTAATTGTAGCTGATGAGTGAAGAGAACATTAAATGAAAGAAATAAAATCAATCCATGTTTTGAGAGAGAAATGATTTTTGAAAAGAATAGAAGTTTTAGAAAATAATATTAATTGATTAAGAAATATAAAATAAGTTGTTAAAAAATATGATGTCAACAGAGTAATTGGCCAGTCATAATGAAATCATGTGGATGATGCAGTATGATGATCTCTTAATTCAGAATTCTGAAAATACTGAGAATTCTGCGAATTCTGAAAATACAGAAGATCTATGTAATTCTAAAGATCTTCTAAATACTAATGATAATCCTAACTTTACAAATTAAATGAAGTCTAAGAATATTTAGTATTATACGCATTCTTAATATTTTAAATTTTATTGTTATTTTTATTATTCTTAATGTATTTATTTTACTTATATTTTATTTTGTTAAATTAGTTAGTTTATAGCATAGTAAATAGTTAGCTATGACAAAAGAAATTTTGTATAAATAGATAGGCTTTTTGCTTATGTTATAAATTAACTCTTTTGCAGATTTATAAACTCTTTTGCGAATACGAGTTTTAATAATAATAAAGGAATTATTCAAAACTTATATTTTTCTACCTCTTCATGTCTTCATATAGTTTGACGTGATTCCTATACATTATTTGTAATTGAGTTTGTTATCTGAATTTTTTAATTAAAATTGTTCATAATCTCATCTTTCAAGTCTTCATACTTGATAGATTTGTTTAAGTCTAACATATAAATTTAGTAAAGTTAAGAATTAGGCAGATCTTAACGTCTTGACTGCAGTAAATCGCAGTGATAAATTTTGAGTAAAGACTTAATAACATGACCACCTTGAGTTGAAGAATTCCATAGTAACAATGAGAATAAAGAATTGCCAGTCCTGTCTAAAAAGCAAAGCAGATTATTAAAACTTAAACAATTAAAAACAAAGTTAAAAAAAAAAGTAAGAAGAAGTTCCAAACTTACATTATTCAAAGAAATAAATAAATTAGTATGAGTTTAGAATATAGAGTTTTGGAATTAATAAAAAAAGATGAGTAAAAATGTAATTATTACTTTATAGACTATAGTAACCAAACTAACCTTTATTTTAGCATTGTTTCTACTATCTATCAGATAGTAGCATACATTAAGACAGAACAATACTTAATATATCTTTTATTTGTAAAGACTGTAAAATTAAATATGATAATAGTACTCTTCTAAGATGTAAAAAGTATGATAGATTAATAAGAAACAGGAGTTTTTGTTATTATTATAAAGAAAAAAAGGAGCAAATCTAATCTCTTACTAAAGTGAATTAATTTCTTGACCTTTCAGTTTTCGTTTAAAAAAGAGAACTAGCAAACTAGAAAAAGAATTAATGATTACTAAAGAGGAATTAAACATTGAAAAAGAGGAAGTTGCTAAATTTCATAAAAAATCAAAGGAGTAAGGTGATAAGAAAATAAAGAGAATTAAAGAATTAGAAGCTGAAATCACTAAGTTAAAGAAAGAAAACCAGCACTTAAAAGAATAACAGAATGGTCAAATTGCTCAAATTGAAGTTAAAGAAACTAAGAAATGAACTTGATTGAAATTAAAAGAGTAATTTAAATTTCATACGTAATTTTTTTCTTAATCTAGATATTGCTGAAGAGTTTGAGTATTATTGATTTTAAAAATGTATAAAGCAATTTTTTTACCTTGAGCTTTCTTTAAATTTTTTCTAATAGTACTGTAATTTTTGGGTTCTATAGTGGATTTAATGTAAATTAGTTTCATATTAATATTTTTTATATAGGGACAATTCTATATTAATCCTGTTATGATTTATATTTATCACATTCTGGTATGATAAAATAAGCATTAAAATTAACAAGTTCATAAGTTATGAATGAGCACTATTATTTCAAAATATCATTAGTCAAATTGGTTAACTTTCAGCTATATCAGCCTCTTATTTAAGAATGTTCACTTTGTCTAGTTTTGTTGCAGCATGCTTCATTTAATATAAAAAAAGAATAAAATACTAAATATAAATAAATTAATTACTGAAATTATAATAAAAGAAATAAAAAAAAAAGAAATAAATTAATTTTTATTTAAGTTACTATTATTATATTATATTATATTTTATTATATTTATTTTTATTAATTAATCTAAGAACTTAAAATTTTTTTATATTAAAAATATTATTGTATTTTTATTCAATATTATTATTTCTTAAACTATAGAACTTTGCAAATAAATTTATTTAATTATTTACTATAAATTTTCTTCTGATTTATTTTTATGAAAAATTTTCATTTTATAAATATATATAATTTCATAATAAATTTTATTTTTTATATAATAAATAATTTATAAGCTAAAAATTTTGTAATTTTTAAAAAATTTTATTATTGACCTTTAACAATCTTATTTTTAGCAATATTAATTATAATATAAAATTAGTAAATTATAAAAATTGTAATAATTAAAATTATTTTTTTATGATAAATTTTATAAGAAATTTTATACTTTTTATAATAATAAAGTGAAATTTTTAAAAATTATTATAAAAAATTTTTAAGTTTATATAGAATATATATATTTAAATCATGTATCAAATATATTATTACTAGTATTACACTTTTTAACCTTTAGTTTTTACTATTTATTTTAAAAACTTAAAATTTTTCAATAAAAAATTATTATCCATTATATTTTATCTGTTACATAGCTATTTTCTGAATTTTTTAATATCAGAAAAATTAATATTAGTGTTAATCTTATTATATAACCAATATATTAAAGTTTTGAATAGTTCAGATTAATCTGAAAATTTCAGTTTAAATCGACTTCAGATCAGTTTCAGATTACAAAAAAATCAATCTGAAAATTTTTGATTAAGTTCAGAATTTTTTCAGATTATAAATCTAATCTAAACTAAAAATAATTTAAACTGAACTGAAAATTTTGGTTTAATCTAAAATTTCAAATGGATTGTTTCAAATGTATAATAAGAAAATTATTCATTTACAGTCAACTCTTTCTACAACGAATTTTGATATAACGAATTTTACAATACAACGGATTTTCAGTGTCGGACAGA